GTTTGCAGATGATACCACATTGGTTAGGACGGTGAACTGTGATGAGGATGCAGAGATTCTTCAGCATGATCTGGACAAGTTATGTGAGTGGGCAGATCAATGGCAGATGCAGTATAACTTGGATAAATGTGAGGTTATTCACTTTCGAAGCAAAAACAAGAAGGCAGATTATTACTTGAATGGTTGTAAATTGGGAGAGGGGAATGTTTAGTGGGTCCTGGGTGACCTTGTGCACCAGTTGCTGAAGGTAAGCATGCAGGTGCAGCAGATGGTAAAGAAGCCAATGGTATATTGGCCTTCATTACGAGAGGTTTCGAGTACAGGAACAGGGCTGTGTTGTTGCAGTTATACAGGGCCTTGGCGAGGTCACACCTAGAATATCGTGTGCAGTTTTGGTCCCCTTTTCTGAGGAAGAATGCTCTTACTCCCAAGGGAGTACAGCGAAGGTTTACCAGGCTGATTCTGGGGAGGGCGGGACTGACATCTGAGGAGGTATTGACTAGGTTGGGATGGTTTTCGTTGGAGTTCACACGAGTGAGGGGGGATCTCATAGAGACTTATAATATTCTAACAGGACTAGACAGGGTAGATGCATGGAGGATGTTCCCGATGGTGGGTGTGTCCGGAACCAAGGACCACAGTATGAGGATTCGGGGTTGATCGTTGAGGACGGAGATGAGGAGACATTTCTTCACCCAAAGAGTGGTGAGCCTGTGGAATTCGTTACCATAAGAAGTAGTTGATGCCAAAACATTGAATCTATTCAAAAGGCAGCTAGATATTGCGCTTGGGGCGAATGGGATCAAAGGTTATGTGGCGAAAGCAGGATTAGGCCGACTGAGTCGGACGATCAGCCATGATTGTGATGAATGGCAGAGCAGGCTCGAAGGGCCGAATGGCCAGTTCCTTCTCCTGTCTTCTATGTTATGCATTTTGTGTCCATTTTGGAAAAGAAATCTACTAGCAAGTAAGTAAGCTGTAAAAAATAATTAATATACAACTGTCATCACTAGCTTATTGTTGTCACTCTTGCTACCAAATATTGCATAGAATATTTGTGCATTTTATTATGCTTGCATTTCATGCAACTTGCATCAGTTTTCTCAGTATTGTTAAGAATGTAATGCAAGATGCTCTGGAAAGTTTGAAGTTTGAAACTGTTATAAATCTTCAAATACAATGATTTCAGCTAATGGCCTAATGAATAAAGCACTAATCGATGTGATTTTAAGCTATTTAGACTGAATGAACCCATATTCCTTTACTAATGTGTACTGAGTTGGCTGATTATAGTTAAAGCAACAGCTGGTGTACTGCAGTAACCCTCAAGGGCAGTTCTTGGAGGTTTGAAGAAGAAGTAGTTTTTCTTGTGGAAGTTTGTTGTTTGTGGCATTGGCTGAGTGCTAAATTATGCTCTGTTGTTTGTTTCTAGTGAAGAACAGCCACCTGTTTCAAGTTCAGTGGTCACCTGATACCAGTGAAACATTGAAGGGTTTATAATTACACCCCTCTCTGCTGAATAAATATTTATACAATGTATCAATATTGCCCATTATCTTTCATGAGAAAAATGATTTATGATATTACAACTGGAACTATTACTGTCCTACTTGGATGAATTGCTGCATTTGTGTGTGTTGTGGCAGTGATGCCGCACCTATTTGCCAAACTGCAGTGGCACGGCATTACATTACCATCATACAGCTTAGCACGGGGGGGAATAAAACGGCTATTTCTCCTATTCATCATCTATGCTTATGCATGTATGTGGAGGTGCCACTGTTGGACTGGGAAGTCACAACAACAGAGTTACAGTCCAACAGGTTTATTTGAAATGACAAGGTTTTGGGGTGCTGCTCCTTTGTCAAGTGAACTGAAGAGAAAGCACGCAGGCGCAAAATTTATATGGAGACAGATCAAAAGGTTGCACAAATGGTGTGAGTGGAATGTTGACATTCTGAATAGCAGTCTCTGTGGGTGATCAAAAGTGTCAGATGGTGTGAGTAAAATGTCAACAGCTGAACTGCAAGTGAAGGGGTGACCTATGATCCAATTAATTGAGGCAGAGCGATAATCACAAAAAAATAAAAATAAGATGGTGCTGGAGACAAACCAAATGGCTGGAGTAACATAATAGATATGAGTTGCATTCAGAGGGTCTAACCAAAGTAACAAGTAATCCAAAACTGTACAGACTAATTAAGGTAGAGAGATCATAACAAGTTATCAAGATGGTGTTAAAATAGAACAGTAAGGAAGATTTTACAACACACAACAGTATGGAGGGGTTACATGTAGCACGACATGAACCCAAGATGGAATTTGGCTTTCAGTTTCTGTTTGGCCATTCTGTGTTGTTATGTATCTCCGAAGGCCGCCTTGGAGGACGTTTACCAAAGATCAAATGCTGAATGTCCTTAACCGCTGAAGTATTCCCCAACTGGGAGGGAACATTCCTGTCTGACAATTGTTGCGCAGTGTCCATACATCCATTGTCACAGCATCTGCATGGTCTCACTAATGCACCATGCCTCAGGGCATCCTTGCCTGCAGCGTATGAGGTAGACAACATTGGCCGAGTTAAGTGAGTATCCACCGTGTACATGGTGGGTGGTGTTCCCACATGTAATGGTGGTATCCACGTTGACGATCTGGCATGTCTTGTAGAGGTTGCCGTGGCAGAGTTGCGTGGTGTTGTGGTCGATGTCCTGAAGGCTGTGTAGTTTGCTGCAAAGAATGGTCTGTTTAAGCTTTGGTGGTTGTTTGAAGGCAAGAATTGGAGGTGTAGAGATGATCTTGGCAAGATGTTTGTCATCGATGACATTGAAGGCTGCAAAGAACGTGACGTAGTTTCTCCGCTCCAGGGAAGTACTGAACAATGAAGGGTACTCTTGGTTGTGTCCTGTGTCCGTCTTCTGAGGAGATCGTAGCAGTTTTTCACTGCGGCACATTGGAACTGGTGATTGATGAGTTGAGCATCATATTCCATTCTTATGAGGGCATCTTTCAGCATCTTTAGGTGTCCATCGCGTTCCTCCTCATCTGAGCAGATCCTGTGTATGTACAGGGCTTGTCCATCGGGGATGCCTTTTTAATGTGTTTAAGGTGGAAGCTAGAGAAGTGCAGTAAATGAGGTTATCCATGGGCTTACGGTGGAATGAGTTACTGAGGTGCCTGTCCTTGATGGTGATGCATGTATCCAAGAATGATACTAAATCTGAAGAGAATTCCATAATAAGTCTGATGGTCGGATGCATGTAGATCACAGGTAGGATATTGTTACATGGTAATTTCATCTTACGACTGAAACTGCTGCTGTTCAGCTGTGAACAACTCTTACCCCCAATATATTAAAATCTACATGAGGTTTTTGTTCATGAAATACATTTAGAAGAATGTCTAATTTGACATTCACTTGGCAATGAAAGCACTTCCTTTTAAAGTAAGGATTGACGGCCACCAAAGCAGGTTCTGGTTCTAAGTTATTTCTAGTGACCATTCAAAATAAGGCAACGTCGTAGCTTAACTGTGGTAACAACGGTAAACAGCTGTTGGTGTGTAATTCTGCCAAGGTGAATACAATTGATTGTGTTGAAAAAAATAAATACAGGTATTTCTGCTATAATGCATGTTTTATTAACGTGAATTGGCTGTAACGTAATTGATTAATAATGGACACTGTTTGGATAACGTGAACTTTCTACTGTGCAGTATAGAGAGTTTCTATAGTGATTTCCCTATAATGTGATTTTCCAAAATGATTTTCTATAGCACGAGGTCACACAGGAATGCAGCTATTGTGTTATAGAAGAAATACATGTAAAAGAAATAGATAAGAATCCAGCTTTCATTACTTGACTCCGATGAAGACGTGTTCTTCTGTGGAGTGCAAGAAAGGTTAAGAATGATTGCCAGTGTTCCATTGTAAGTGCTATGGTATCAACTAAGGCCTTTCCTTTGTGGAAATTAAGCAGGGACAGTTTCCTTGGTAGAATTATGGTGAGAGGCCATAATGAAATAAGCTACAAGACTGGCACCTACCCAACAATGTGAAAGATCACCCAGGTATTTCCTGTACAAAAGCAAGACAAATCCATCCTGGTCAATTACTGTCCTATCATCTCGGTCTTCAGTAAAGTGATGGAAGATGTCATCAAAAATGCCATTGGGCAGTGTCTGTTCTTCAATAAACTGTTCAGTAATGCTCAGTTTAGATTCCACCAGGGCCAGTCACCTTATTGCAGTCTGGTTCAAACATTGAAAGTACAGTTGAATTCCAGAGGTTAGGTGAGAATGATATCAGGCCACATTTGATTAAGTGTGATATCAAGAAGCTCGAGTAAAACTCGAGTCTTTGGGAATTGGGAGAAAACTCTGAAGATTGGAGGGGCATATAGAGGCACCAGGCACATAGGAAGATGGTGTGGTCGTTTTAGGTCCATCATCACGACTCAAGGACATTTCTGCAGGTGTTCCTGGGCTTTCTTCCGCTTTAGCGATGACCTATCCTCCATCATGTCAGAAGGTGGGGGGGGATGCTCACTGATGTCTGCACCGTATTCTGCACCATTCATGACTTCTCAGATACTGAAAGCAGTCCATATCCAAATTCAAGATCTGGCCGATATCCAGGCCTAGGCTGAAAAATAGCAAACAACAATTGTGACACACAAGTGCCAGGCAACGGCCATCTCCAATAAGAGATAATCTAACTACTGACCCTTGATATTCAATTGCGTCACCATCACTAAATCCCTTATTACCAACATCCTGGGGTTACCTTGACCAGAAACTAAAGCGGACTTGCCATACAAATACAGTTGCAATGCAAAATTGGTCACTGATACTGCTGTTCTGAATGTATAATATTATCTAGGCATCTCTTTAATGCCTACATTGCCGGGAATTGGAGTAAAGTACATAGTAGAAACTGAACAGTTCAAAGTAACTGTATTGCAGTATTGAACAATATACATGCATATATTTTGCATCTCTTTTAGGGTGTAACGATTCCTAGCCAGAGGCGCTATGTATACTATTACAGCTACCTTTTGAAGCACAGATTGGATTACAAGCCAGTGGCATTACTGTTTCACAAGATGCAATTTGAAACTGTTCCGATGTTCAGTGGCGGAACATGCAGTAAGTTGTTATTTACTACTTTTTAGTATTGTCTATTTATAGGGAAAGGGCAGAAAGTTTTAGTAGTGCATTGCTGTTTCAGTCTATCAGTATTGTGATGGGTGCTTGTTATGTTGTTTCATGTTGCTTTTACAGTTTCATTCTTCAAAAAAAGCACTCTAATTTTATATGTTTGATATCATATTGAACTTTAATACTAAGCAAACCCCATTCCCCTACAGCCCCCTCAAATACCCTGAAAGACTTAAGTTGGTGGGTGAAAAAAAAATTAGCATTGATGCTGCTCTGCTTGCTTAACTTAAGTATCCATTACTTACAAGTGAGCCTAGAGAGTTAATTGGACATTTTAAGATGATGTGTGTCACTGCTAGGCTTGTTTGTGCAGTCAGAGCTAAAGCATCTTTTCTTTTATCATCTTCACATCCTTAGTCCAGGGAGGTCAGTTATAGAGCCCGTTTTAGCCACCATTATGCTAATATTCTGCATGTTCTATTAATGAGCATTAGGAAGCAAGACCTTGACTTTTGGGAAGGCGATGGGTAGATGAACCCTTTAAGTTTTAAGATTGTGTGCCACTGACACCAGTATCACTTTGCTTTATTATTTAAGAGTATAACCATTAACAAAAAGAACCTTGTAGTGAATGTTTCCTTTTTTTCTTTGTTCGAAGTGAAAAGTTAAAACCCTTTTGTTCTTTCTTAGACCCTATGTTTGTGGTTTCGCAGCTGAAAGTGAAGATCTTCACTTCCTCTTTGGGACCGACCAGGCGTGAAGACAAGTACATGTATTTTGATTTTCCTCAACCTCTACCAGTGTGTGGAGATATTAAAGTGGAATTCTTCCACAAACAGAACAAGATGATGAAAAAGGTTTGTTCCTGCCCAATCTGGAGTCATTTTTTATTTTATAAATATGTGTATATAACAAGGACCCAGCCACCTTTAATCTGTAAAGTGCAATGTGAGAGGTTTTGCCTTCAGTAGTCTTTTCCAAACAAGTGGAAAAGAATATTGCAATAATTTCAGTTGTTTAATTGCCACACCCACAATTCCATCAGCAAAAGATTCAACAACCAAACACAACGCTGAGATTGAATTTGTTTTGCAAACAATGCATGCAGATTATAAAAGCAAAATACTACACGTGCAAGAAATCTGAAATGAGAACTGAAATTGCTGGAACTGCTCAACCGGATTGGCCGCATATGTGGAGACAGAAATAAAGTTCACATTTCATGTCAATGACCTGTCACCAGAGCATATTAAATTATAACCTATTAACCATTGCTGTGCATCTTTTTCATAGAATCCCTACAGTGCCGAAAAAGGCTGATCGGCCAATTTGAGTCTGCACCAACCCTCCAAAGAGCATCAGACCCGTACACAGCCCCCCAACCCTAACCCCGTAACTCAGCATTTACCATGGCTAATCCACCTAGCCTGCACATCTTTGGACTGTGGGAGGAAACTGGGGCACCTGGTGGAAACCCACGCAGACCAAGGGGACAACGTGCAGATTCCACCCAAACAGTTACCCAAGTCTGAAATTGAACCTGAGTCCATGGTATTGTGAGGCAGTAGTGATAACCACTGAACCACCATGCTGCCATCTGTTCAAGTTCTGGTGAACTGTAAAAGTGAATCATTAATGGAAAAACTTGCTTGCATTTTCTTTTCTTGCGATTCAGTTCCTTCTTATTTTACAACTAACAGTTGCATTATTGAACTGTTCTGACTTCATTATAATACGTTTTACCTTCCTTAATATTCTAATATTTTGGAAGTGTGAATCCCATTGATAAAATAGCTTTGACTGAAAGCTGGTTCAGCATCTGATTTTCAAACTGGTTGAAACCCAGAGTTGTGAACATTGATATATTTGTAGAAGCAAGCTTATCAATCTGAAATTTAATTTTTACATGGTAAGTCAAGAAAGATCCCGTTTCCTAATTAGTTGGCTCAGCCTTCTGTGGCAAACATCAGATAAAACAGGTCCTAAACAGACAGCAAGAAATAAAGCACAAATCAGTTTTGGGCATCAGAGATTAAATCCTGATGCAGCGGTTGAAATCCTTGACCTGATCAAAAAAGGGAGGGTAATAGATTTTACAAATGTTGGATAACTTAAAACATTTTTAGAATGTAACTGTCAATGAATTTCTAGAGTCTATTATGTCACCACTACGTCTAACAGGTACTGCCATCTGACATTGTTTTGAATAATTGGATGGGCTTTTATACGAAAGACAGTCAAAACTCAATGCTTTAGATTTACAATTCTTCTGCTGTAAGAAATAGGAGAACTAGGTACTGAAGTGAGTCAGGACTTCAATTCAAAAGGAAAGGGATGATAATCTCTCTTGCTACAAACTATAGAACCATAAAAATTTATAAACACAAGTAGCCCATTAAATCAGTCTTGTCTACTCTGCCTGATTGCTCAAACAGTGTAATTACCATATATCTTCCTCTGCTTTAAACTCTCTGCTCCTATGATGCTGCTTGGCCTGCTGTGTTCATCCAGCCCTGCACCTTGTTGTCTCGGATTCTCCAGCATCTGCAGTTCCTACTATCTCTGATTAAAATTTCCTCTTGGCTTTTTCTGCTTCATTGAATATACTCCAGTTGTCTCAAGTCTCGCCTCATAACTAGTGATGATGATCTAATCTCTGGTGATATGCTATATACAAACTATAAACTCTTGCTTTTAATTCTTTTCTGTAAAATTAGTACATGCCTGCTATTGCTAAAGTGATTGTGGGTCATTTTGCAAACCAAGGAACACAATTACGTGATCAGTAAATTTTCACGTACTTTTAATGCCTCAACTTAAATTATCAATTATATCAAAATGAAATGTGGACCCACTTTCCAACCCTCAACTTCTCCAATCCAAGCAACACCCATTTGTGTTATGTCCTTAAATGCATTTAGATGGACTTTATCCAGTTTCTTGTGGATGTCAAACACAACCTCTCTAAATTTAGGACTAACTTGCAATCATTGATGACACAGAAAAGTTGATACAGGAATGAAAAAGATGGGTGTGCACTTCTGAGGTGGGACCGAGATCCATAGTTTGGTTGGAAATTTACGTCGACCTTCTGTACTGAAGCTGGAAATGCTTAACACTGACCTTGAGTATCAAATAAAAAGTGTTCCATCATTCTAAGCACTTGTGTATCTCAACTGATTACACAGATTTACACAAATAAGCATGCACGCATGCAGTCAACTGTCCCCCCACCTCCACATTGTGATGGCCATAGTCTGATGGTATGGTACATCACAATCAAAATTGCCAAATCTTGGTTAACAGCATCATTATTATTTTCTGCTTATTCCTCCAAATTAAATCAGACAAATGTAGTAACTTTATCTACCATAGGTGGTTACTAGGAGATAGCAAGGTGGTTATTACTTGGTATAGAAAAAATTTCCCTGCTATGTGCTATGTCACTTATAAATAGGTTTGTTTATTAATGATTTATTTGCATATAGCATACAATGGAGATTTTTTCTTTATCTCACTTAATGTTACATTTACAATTACCAGTGACTTCTGTAATTGACCTACATAGGCAATCTAATTTTCTAAAGTCGATTTGAATTTCAGAATTGGTATGAGGAGTAGGTATGTGAAAAATCTGGCACTATCTATGTATTCGCCAAGGAAATTGTTCACCAGCAGGAGAAGGGAAAGGGGTTTTCATTTTTTCATCAGTTGTCTTCCTGCCAATCTGAAGGCATTCATGAAATGCCGTTCCACAAGCGTGGACCCCTGAGGTGACCCAAGTGGCTATTTTTCATGTGCAGTTCTATCCCTTAAGTGTCATTTAGCACGTTATTTAAATGCAGGAGGTACAGAAATATGCCACGTCTTTTTTACTCCCAGTGCCTAGACCTGTGCTTTTTCACTAAGTTTTGCTGAATTGTAGTTGAAAGTGGAGTGCTGAATGTTTGTTGCTTCTTTCTGTAGCATCACTGCCACATTTTTGATTGAGATTTGTTAACTTGACACAGTGGAAACTAAATTGTGCTCAGAAAGTTGGAAAATAAACCTGAGCAAATAGAAATTTTTTTTTTGCACAAGTTTCTTTTTAGTTTGCATCTCCCTATTTCATCAGTTCCTCATTACTAAAAACAATCAAAAGTACTGTTTGTTTTTTTTTTGCTCCTCCTTTCCTTGCCTTTTCTCTCCTCTAGGAATGCAACATCTGCAGTCAGTCTTCTACCAGGTCTGTATGAGTGCATACTTCTCAATTTATTACAGTATTCAAAAATTTCAATTAGCAGCTCTTTCAATCATTTACGTCTGGTTTTGATTGTTCTGTTCCTAATAGCCACATGCATTTTTCTTTGGTGCCTTTCCCCAATACAGTAAGAAAATATGCTCAGACATCCAGAAGATGGTAAGACTGCTGCAGTGGTAGTAATTCAGTTATTATCTACTTCCATATTTCTGAAAGCAGAAATTACTGTTTGGAAACAGGATTCAATACTAATCTACTTGAAAATCGAGCTTTAGAGCTTATCTAAAACATGTTATTAAAAACTGAAGACCTGTACTCCTTATACATTGCCGATATCTTGAACAGGATTCAGACATAGTATTCCCTTCAAACCCTTCTTGCTCACCATCTAACAAACCAGTGATCACCACAGTACTTCTTTAGCAGTGCTGGTCATTTTCAAGGCTAAAAAAGTCTTAACGTTGTGATTATATTCAACCAGCGCATGGATTAAATGGACCAAATTATGTCTTATAATGGATTCCAGACTCTCAATATTAAATGAGATTTACAGGTTATTTTCTTTTCTTCAGGATAAAATGTTCCATTTCTGGATAAATACATTCTTCATCCCACAACCAAATGAGAACTTAGATAAAGTAGAAAATGGCAGCATAGTTACAGACAAGGACGATGATGGTTGGCGTACAGATAATGACAAAGAATATCTGGCCCTTACATTGACTAAAAATGAACTTGACAAGGCAAATAAAGACAAGGCCAACAGATACTTCTCACCAAATTTCAAGGTTAGTATTTTTTTTTCTTCTGCCTTCATAGAATGTGGACATTGCTCGCTGGGCAGCATTTATTGCCCATCTCTAAATTGCTCTGAATTCGGTGACAGTGAGCTGCCTCCTTGTCGTGCTGCAGTCCTTGGGGTGTAGGGACATCTACAATCCTGTCAGAAAGATGGTTCCAGGATTTTGACCCAGTAACAATGAAGGATCAGCAATATAGTTGCAAATCAAAATGGTGTGTGACTTCAAAGGCAGGTGCTGGTATTTACTTGCATCTTGCTGCCCTGGTCATAGGTCATTAGAGGTTGTGTGTTTGCAAGGTGCTGGTAGAGGCTGGGTTAGTTATTTTGCAGTGCATTTTGTAGAAAGTACTCGCTGCTGTTACTCTGTCAGTGGTGAAGGGAGTGAATGTTCAAGGTGGATGCTGTACCAATCAAATGGACTGCTCTGTCCTGGGATGATGATGTGTTTCTTGTGGGTTCGTGTAGCTGCTGTCACCCAGGCAAATTAAAGTATTGTATTGCAATCCTGACTTGTGCCCTGATATTGTGGAGACGAGATGAGTTACTAGCTACAGAATTCCTAGACTCTG